TAAACCCCAAACCCTAAACCCCCAGGGCTGTGAGGATTTAAGATTAGATCGCAGGCCCAGGATTCTGTGAGGAGTTGGGGTTTCGGAGACCCTACATTACAGTTTTCCTACACACCCTCCATGCACTTTACCCTCATGAAGGAACTTCCCCTAAACCCTAAACCCTAAACCCTAAACCCTAAACCCTAAACCCTAAACCCTAAACCCTTGCCTTCAAACTATTGAGGAATCCTGAATGTGATTGAGCTGTAGTCCTGTTTCTTATCTTGGGTTTAGGTGGGGGGTGTCAAGGTCTTCCGGTTAGGGTTCCAAGGCAGGGTTTAGGGTTTAGGGTTTAGGGGGTGCAGAGCTCATGGACCAAAAAGCCTTAAACTCTAAACCTCTAAACCTTCATTAGCAAAGGGCAAGTCTGCCGCATCGTCGATCTGATCTTAATCACCATGTAGGCCTTGTTTCTGACAAATTTCGGATTCCACTTCTATGAACTTATGGTGCAGCTTTGTAGTTTCCAAGTTAACCCTGGCTCTAACCCCACAAAGTCCACCGCCATGCATCCCTAGACTCCATCAAAAGCCCTCAAATTTGAACGACTCTTCAATTTTAATTCAGCCCTGTGGAATTTAGGGTTTAGGGTTGAGGGTGTTTATGCTACGAAATCGAGAACCTCCACAATCCTTTTTTATTTAAAGTGTCCTGCTTGGTAGCGGTGTTGCCCAATGCTAATTGAAAGAAAACCTGTGCCGAAAGCCAAGCTGTAATCCCGACAACCTAATCCCTGAAGCCCTTAGGAAATGTTAACAACCTGAAGCCAGAAAGCCTTAAGACGGGGGCCTTAATAAGTACCTATACTAGTTTGGGGGGTTCCTTACAGTAGAAAAGACCCCAAAACCCTCTTCTAATTCTTAAGGCCCCTACATTACCCCTCCTTAAGGACGAAATGACCCTTAAAAGTATGGGCCCTATACCCATATAGTATGAATCCCTATATGGTATAGGAACCTTAAACCCTTTTAGGGTTCATTTCGTCCTTAAGGCTCAGCCACCTCAAAGCACCTTACCCTGAAGCGCGGCACCCCAATCCCGAAAGCCCGAAACCCGAATCCTTCCAGATCCGAGCCCTAAACCCTTAGGGTTTAGGGTTCAGGGTTTAGGGTCTAGGGTTTAGGGTTAAGGGTTTAGGGTTTAGGGTCTAGGGTTTAGGGTTTAAGGTTTAGGGCTTATAGGGTCTAGGGTTTAGGGTTTATAGGGTCTAGGGTTTAGGGTTTAGGGTTTAGGAGCCCTAAACCCTCAGGCTTGCCCATAGGCCCCATAGTAGTTCCGTTTTGGGGTTCATATTTAGAATCCTATAAGGTAATCCCCAAAAGGAGCTACCATGGGGCCTATGGGTAAACCCCGAAAACACGTTTAAAAGCACACTTAAAACAACTCAAAACCTAAACCCTAAAGTAAACGTCTAGCCCAGCACCCTAAACCCTACTGAACCCTACTAAACCCTACAAAACCCTAAACTAAACCTCTAGCCAAGCAGACTGAAGGCGGATCATTCCGACACGCTCAGCTCGATCATGAACTTCTACGTGGGCCTTTCTGAGCCTCCCGCGGATTGCCGGTCTTGGGTTCGGAGTAGGGTTTAGGGGTTTAGGGGTTCAGGGTTTAGGGTTTAGGGTTTAGGGTTTAGGGTTTAGGGGTTTAGGGGTTTAGGGGTTTAGGGTTTAGGGGTTTAGCTTAAGAACCCCAAACCTACTTTTTGTAGGGTCCCTATAAATCCCATATCAGGATTTATAATAAGAACCTCCAGAATTGGTTTTGGGTTCTTAAGGTAGGGTTTAGGGGTTGGGGTCAGAGCTTTTGAAGTAGGGCCTAAACAAGTACCGATACTATTTGGGGGGACCCCTGATTATAATCATAGGTTTAGGGTTTAAGGCTTAGGGCCCTCGTCTAGGGGCCTTGATAATTAGAATAGAGATGAATAGGGTTTGGGGGTATTTAGGGTTTAGGGTTTAGGGTTTAGGGGTTTAGGGTTATTATAGTCAGAAACCCCAAATTAGTTTTGGGTAACGTGTTAGGCCATATATTTAAAGGCCTCTAGAAGCCCTGAGCCTTGAGCACCCTACACCCTAGGCCTAAACCCTCACCCTAAGGCCGCCCAACCATAGGGCTTCGAGTTTCAGGGTCTACCAGTAGGGAGACCCCAATGACCGTTGACAGCGGAACATTTCTTACTGACATGAGAGTAGCACGGTGTAGGGTTTGTGGTGGAGGGCTTCGACATGATCTAAGAACATTACATGCTAAAGCTTGAATCCCGCATTAGGATCCCCATGACACATTATTCGAGAATTACCCTAAACCCTAAGCCCTATAAACCCTACACATTTCGGATGTCGGCTGTTGGCTGGGCACGTCTGACTGATTGAGGCTTCATGGTTTCAGCATTCCGGCTTTGCGGTTTAACCTCAAGCCCTAACCCTAAACCCACCTCTGCAGACCATAGCCAAGAACGATCCATGTAGCGGTTTCGGCGTGTGAATCAGTAAGATCTCCAGCAGTGCGCTGGTGGCTGAGGGTTTGCTTGCCTCTCAGTGAGTGTGATGGTTTAGGGTTTTGGAGGTCTTAGCACAAAACCTTAAAACTTAATCCCTAAACCTTAAGGCCTAAACTCTAATTAAACCCGAAGCCAAGACTCTTCCTCCGGACCCACTTTGACCCCATACACCTTACGAGCCTACATAAGCCTTACAACTGAGAACCATCCGAAATCGCGAACCTACCCCGAATATTGATACTTGTACGTCTGAAGTCGCGAGTGTCAATGTGACCCCTAACAACCCCACCCCTTGCGTGAGCACGGGACAGGTGCAGTGTGCCAAGAGTCCGAGAGTTTAGGGTCCCGGGCATGGCTTTGTGCTTGCTGCAGTGAAGCACCGATGCATGCGGAAGTTTCGCAAGAATGCGCTCCAAAACCGATGCAAGAAGACATCCAAGACTAGATGTCCTAGTCCGCGAACTGCATAAATGCTAGGCATCACATTAGACTACACTAAACCCTAAACCCTAAACCCTAAACCCTAAGCCCTAAACCCTAAACTACAAGCCGTAAGCCCTTCACAGGCGCAGGCACAGGACTAACAACGAACAGGGAGCTCAAACCCGGAAAGCCTAGATATCCCTTGAATTGTGGAATATCCCGAAGTTCATAACAATTTCGGAAGTATTCCTTGCTTGACTGGAAATTGGTTCTCCGGCTTCTCGAGGAATTTCCGCATGCTGTCCTGAGGCCCAGCCGGAAGTTCCGAAAAGAGGTGACCTTCTGTTGGAGACCGGAGTTTAGGCTTTAGGGAAAAGGGTTTAGGGTTTAGGGCTTTGGTGTAGGGTTTAGGCTTTAGGGAAAAGGGTTTAGGGTTTAGGGTTTAGGGGTTTAGGCTTAGGCTTTAGGCTTTAGGCTTTAGGGAAGAGGGCTATCAGGTTTTGGTTTGGAGCTGAGGGTGCGGGGTGCAATGTCGACTCCTGAACAGGCTTGCTACGTCGCATGAAATACAATCCTTATGAAGGGGTGTAATGAAGCAGCGCGCTAGGTTGGGGTTTAAGCGTGCAGGGTTTAGGGTCTCTAGGGTTTCGAGTTTGCAGCACCTTGCTGCAACACCTGGCATGCGTACATCTGACAAACTTAAACGCTCGCGGCTTTACGCCTAAACCCTGCATTGAGTGACTCATCCATGCCAACCCGAATCCTAAGCCCAAAATGTCAGAGGCGATGCTTGGGAATTACGGCCTAAATCTATCGGAAAGTTTTAGCCCTAA